ACCACTCATACCACCCTTACCTGGGTCCCTGTGGCAGATTCCTCCTCTGTCCCGTTCCTGGGCCTTTTAATCCCCTTTCTCCTGCTCTCCTGCCCTGCTGTTTTGTGTGTGCCTGGGTTCCCTCTCCTCACCTGGATCCCTGCGGCTGACAGCTCCTCTGTCCCGGTTCCTGGGACTTTTAATCCCCTTTTTCTGCTCTCCTGTGCCTGGGTTCCCTCTCCTCACCTGGATCCCTGTGGCTGACCGCTCCTCTGTCCCAGTTCCTGGGACTTTTATTTCCTTTCTCCCGCTCTCCCACCCTGCTGCTTTGGGTGTGCCTGGGTTTCTTCTCCCCACCTGGATCCCTGCAGCTGACTGCCAAATAGTGAGCTACAAATCCATATATAATCATCTAGGATACAACTATTAGTCTTTATTTATCTGGAACAAAAGAGAAAGAAGGGGACCCAAGAATCAGAGAAGGAACTGGACTACATGACTAATTATTTACATGAACCACTTCCTCCTCCACCTTGAGACAAGAAGAACCACACAGTGCCCAGCTACCACTATTGAATGTTCTGATAAGGAACATGGTGAAAGAAATCTTAATGAAAAGAGAGAAAAATGTAGAACAAAATTTCAAATACTTAAAGAATCCAGACTCGCTGGATTATTGAGACTGTATCCCTGAGTTACGCATCGAATCCTGAATTGAAACGATCCCCTGAAGTCACCTTTAAATTAAGTAACAGTTCAGCCTGAACAATAATGACTGTCATGCCTGAATATGGAATTACTTAAAAAACTAGTAATAACCTATGTAAGACCAAAGGTTCAACAGCTATTTTAAAGCATAGAAGAGAAGGTTGAGGGACAGGATGATTAAGTAAATGGAAGTAAAACAACTAAAACAGAAATAACAAGAATATTGACACACTGTGAAGAATTTAACCAACGTCACTGATCATTATGTCTAGAAACTGTAGAACAGGAAGAGGTTTTTCTGTTTATATTTTCACCAAAAATTACTATAATTCACCATATTAACAGAAAGGAAGGAGAAAATCACTTGATCAAGATCAAACATAAAACAATAGTATTTGATATAATTTAACACCAAGTTATGATAATAACTTAGCAGGCTAGAAATAAAAGGGAATTTTTCTTCATCTGGAAAAGTATTCACAAAAAATTTTTAGCAAACATCATACTTAACGGTAATCTTTGAAAGTGTAATCTTTTACGCTGAGAACGACACAAAGATGACTTCCATCACCACACCTATTCAATGTAATACTGTATGTTTGACATACATATGAAATGAGGCAAGAAAAAAGCGGGACATCAGGATTCAAAATGAGGACAGAAAACTGTCTATTACAGATGACATATTTGCATACATAGAAATTTCAAAAGCATCTAAAGGCAAACTACTAGAATTCATAAATGAATTTAGCAAGGTCTTTGAATTCAAGGTCAATATAAACAAATTAAAAGTTCCACTCGTTCCAATTAAAACACACCATTTACAACGGCATGAAAAACATCATCACATATCTAGGAGTAAATCTATCAAAAGATGGGCAACTGGAAGATTCAATACTGCAGACATGTTAGTTTTCCCTAAATTATAGTTTCAACACAATTCAAATAAAAATTTCAGTAGTTTCAACTGGACTAACTTTAAAACTTCTGAGGAAGTTTAGAGGCCCAAAAAATTGCTAAGGCAATGCTAAAGAATAAAGGTGGAAGATTTTTACTATCAGATATCAAGATTTATTACAAAGACATAATAACTAAGATAGAGTGATACTGACAGAATGAAAGAAACATGAAACAATGGAAAATAAGAGAAAATTCATAAATATATATATTAACATGAATAGGCCTGGGAAGCACAACGCAGGAGTGAAAAACTGTGAGTTGCATGACTGTAAGTATATTATGTTTCCAGTTATCTAAAAATTTAACATAAACACTATGCAACACAATTATATGTAAGAATATATACAACCTTGTCCCTTGTCAGCTCTACTATATACCTGAGAATTCTTATAGAACATACAAATAAACTTACAGAACCATTGTCTGCCAACCCTATACAAACACATGTGATGAAAGCATTAAAAACAGACTCTACAAATACAGATGGAAAAAGAAAAGAAAAACAACTATATACTAGTGAAGCCTCATGGTTACTCATTTCCCGGGTAAGATATTTAATGCTAATTTGAAAAATATATATATATCTATCTAAAAAAAACATTATAAATTAGGAGAATAAAATAAGAGAACAAATGTAAGGTTATGTATTTTACCTTAATGGGACAGGCTGAACATCAAATGGAAATTCTTTATTATATGTAAGAATATTCTTTAGGACTAGAATAAAATAGAGAAAAAGAAGTATGAATTGTTCCATTAATCACATACAAAAATTTTATCTTAACGTGGCTAATTTTTAATTAATTTTACTCAGCATATTCTTACTTTTAAAAATTCCCAACCTTACCATCGTTCCAGAGCCACAATGCACTTGTCCATTGAAGGTCTTAGCAAAAAGAAAATGTTCAGAGTATATATTCCAGGTACCCAGTATATCTGGAAGACTATCAGATCTCCAATGAGAGTAAGTTTTAAAGTCTCAGAGCCCTCATGGAAACTGAACCCTAAAATAGTAATTCTATGTACGAGGACCTAAGTGAGACACAGGATACACAGAGAAAGAAAATACCTCTTTCCTGGAGTATTTCAATGAAACGAATGGCATCAAAGACGACCAATTAAAGGTTTATAAACATCTTACTCTATGTCCTAAGTAGATTTCCCAATGTCATCAAACTATTAAAGTTTATAGTAGCAAAGTTTTAATTTCTAGACTCCTTTTATGGAAAAATGTATTATTTTAGAAGTATATCACCAGGTCTTTCTTCTGATGTGTTTCTAGGTGGACTCAAAATTCCAACCTTTCAGCTAGCAGCTGAACACATTAACAATTTGCATCACCCAGAGGCATTATAGATACATATATATGAATGTATGTATATGTACATACTCACATACATTCTAGACTTCATCTCTCATACTTTGGTCATGTTGTCAAGAAGGGACCAATCTCTGGAGAAAAATATCATGCTTGGTAAAGTAGAAGCTCAGCGAAAAGGGGCAGAACCTCAATGAGATGGAGGGACATAGTGGCTGCAATAATGGGCTCACACATAGCAAGGATTGTGAGTATGGCGCAGGACCAGGCAGTATTTTGTTCTGTTGTACAACAGGGTCACCATGACTCAGAACAAACTCAGCGGCACCTAACACCAACAACATATACATAAAACACACACATACATAAAACTTACAATTTTATTATAAAACCCATACATACACAAAGAAGGATTTACCTTCTATTTTGTTTGTTTGTTTTATACGTTAACATCAAGGCATTTTCACAAATCCCGTATTTTAAAAAGGCTTTATTATACTACAAAGTTAACTGTCAGTCTTTTAAGGACATTGTAATTGAAAATATGTAAGGTGTTGAAGAGATCTTACATTAAATAAAATGAAATACTAGATATTATGTCCCTCTTTTTTTTTAATTGTGAATGGGGTGAAAGTTTACAGACCAAGTTCACTTTCCATTCAGCAGTTCACATACAATTTGACTCATGGCATTGACTACAATTTACTACAATGCAACAGCTCCCCTCCCACTTCCTCCCCATAGTTCCCTCTTCCCTGTGTTCATCCCTCCATGCCCTCCTGCCCCGAGCTATCTCCCAGTGCATTAAACAGCCCTTCTTTCTCCCACGATTGTTCTCTCCAAGGAGTGTATCTACCTCAGGTAAATGTTCAACTTATATGTTTATCTTTTGTTTGGCTGGAAGCCACAGGTGTGGGTTCAATTTGAGATCTGAAGGGCAGCTAGGGGCCAAAGTTTTGGTGCCTCCCCTTTTTCCCCAAATGATTTTGAATTTTGTTCCACATTGTTCTCACTTTTTATCCAGGATCTCCTACACAGATTCCCCTCCAAGAGGTTGACAGTAGTAGCTGGGCACCATCTAGTTCTTCTAGTCTCATACTCGTATAGGCTGTGGATCGCACGGTATACCAGTCACTAGGACTAATTCTTTCCATGAATCTTTGGTTTTCTTCATTCTTCTTTGCTCTGGATGAGGAGAGACCCATCGTTGCATCCAGATGGCTGCTTGCAAGCTTTTAAGATCCCAGTCACTACTTGCCAAAGTAGGAGGTGGAACAATGTTTTGTGTAGTATATTATGCCAATTGAGCTTGATGTCCCCTGCGACTATGGTCCCAAGCCCACAGGTTCAACTACTACTCACTCCCCCTGGGTAGCTGGCTGTGGCCAAGAAGTAACTACATCCTTGTCCCTTGTCAGCTCTACTATATACCTGAGAATTCTTATAGAACACACAAAAAAACTTGTAGAACCATTGTCTGCCAACCCTATACATAGTCCTGGGTACACTCCCCAAAGCATAGATATATCTCAGCCTCTTCACCCACCTATCCACCTGTATATCCATGTTTGCCTCCACTGACAACACAGTAGTGTGTGGGCAAAAGGGTTCATCTTTGCTGTCTGCACCTCCAATGTACCTCTCTCTATGTCTTCCTCTTCCTCAATGCCACCATGTTGATCACTCACATTTGGTACATTACCTTCTCTTCACCCAAATCAATACTTGTCTCTACCTATCTAACAGTGTTACCTACCCTCCATTCCCACCCCTGGTAACTAACAAGGAAAATGTCTTTCCATATAGAAACATTTCCTTGACTTTTATAATAATGGACTAATACAATATTTGCCCTTCTGTGATTCACTTATTCACTCAGCATAATGTCCTCCAAGTTCATCCATGTTATGCGGTGTTTTGCAGATTATACGTTATTCTTTAGGGTTGCACAGTATTCTATTGTGTGTATTTAGCAAAGTTTGATTATCCATTCCTGATGGACACCTAGGTTGTTCCCATCTTTTGGCTATTGTAAATAGTGCTGTGATGAACATGGGTGTGCATACGTCTGTTCTTGTCATACTTCTTTAGGATAAATACCTAGTAATGGAATAGCTGGGTTAAATGGTATTTCTAATTCCAACTTTTTAAGGAATCGCCATACTGCTTTCCACAGTGGTTATATCATTTGACAGTCCTGCCAGCAGTGTATGAGTCCCAATCTCTCCGCATCCTTGCCAGCATTTGTTATTTTCTGTCTTGCTGAACTTTGCTACTAGTCCTGGTGCAAGATGGTATCTGATTGTTGTTTTGATTTGCATGTCTCCAATGCCTAATGATTGTTAGCATTTCTTTATATGTTTGTTGGCTCCCTGAATATCCTCTTTGGTGAAGTGTCTATTCATGTCTTCTGCCCATTTTTTAATTGGATTGTCTTTTTGTTATTAAGATATTACAGTCTTCTATAAATTCTAGAGAAAAATCCCTTGTCAGATATCTCATTGCTAAATATTTTTTTCCCAGGCTGTATGTTCTCTTTTGACTCTTTTGGAGAAGTCTTTGGAAGCACATAAAAATTTGATTTTTAGAAAGTCCATTCATCTAGTTTCTCTTCTGTTGTTTGTACATCTTGGGTTATACTTGATATTCTATTTATGCCATATATTAGGGCCCCTAAATTTGTCCCTAGTTTTTCCTTGACAAACTCTATAGTTTTGGGTTTCAAATTTAAGTCTTTGATCCATCTGGAGTTCATTTTTGTGTATGGTGTGAGGTACAGATCTTGTTTCATTGTTCTGCCAATGGATATCCAGCTTTGCCAGCACCATTTATTACACAAACATTCTCTTCCCCATTTAATGGATTTCAGCCCTTTGTCAAAGATCAGCTGACCATAGGTCGAAGGATCTATTTCTGGGGTCTCAATTCTATTCCACTGGTCTATGTGTCTGTCATTGTACCAACACCAGGCAGTTTTAACCACTGTGGCTGTACAGTAGGTTTTGAGATCCGGCAGTCTGAGACCCCTACTTTGTTGTTCTTCTTCAATAGTGCTTTGCTTATCCGAGGTCTCTTTTCTTCCCACATAAAGTTAGTGACTGGTTTTTCCATATCCTTAAAAAATGTTGATGGGATCTGGACTGGGATTGCACTGAATATATAGATTGCTTTGGGTAGAATTGACATTTTCACAATGTTCAATCTTCCTATCCACGAGCCTGGGATGTTCTTCCATTTATGTACATCTCTTATGGTTTCTTGAAGCAGTTTTTTACATTTTGTTTATACAGGTCTTTTATGTCCCTGATAAGATTTATTTCCAAGTATTTTATTTTTTTTGTAACTATTGTAAATGGTATTGATTTCCTTATTTCTTTTTCAGCAATCTCTTTCCTGGTGTAGAGGAATCCAACTGATTTTTAGATGCTGATCTTGTATGTTGCCATGATGCTAAATCTCTCAATTAGTTCCAGTAGATTTTTGACTGAGGCTCTTGGGTTTTCTAACTATGGGATCATATCATCAGCAAACAGGGATAGTTTGACTTCTTCCTTACCAATTTGGATGCCTTTGATTTCTCTTTCTTGCCGGGCCTGGCTAAGACTTCCAGTACAATGTTGAATAGAAGTGGTGATAGAGGGCATCCTTGTCTGGTTCCTGTTTGCAAGGGGAATGGTTTCAGTCTCTCTCCATAGAGAATAAATGTTAGCTGTTGGTTTTGCATGTTGTTGTTATTGTTATGTGCCGTCGAGTCAGACCTGACTCATAGCGACCCCTCCATGGGATTCCAAGGCAGTATCACTATGGAAGTAGATTGTCCCATCTTTCTTCCGAGGAGTGGCTGGTGGGTTTGAATCACTAGCCATCTGGTTAGCAGTCAAGTGCCTTAGGCACTATGCCACCAGAGATTCTGCATAGATGCCCTTTATTATGGTGAGCAATGTCCCTTCTATTCCCATTGTGCTGAGAATTTTGATCAGAAATGGGTGTTGGGTTTTATCAAATGCCTTTTCTTCATCAATTGATATGATCATGTCGTTCTTTTTCTTTGTTTTATTTATGTGGTGGATGATGTTCCTTGCACACCTGATATGAACCTCATTTGAACTTAATGAATGATTTTCTTGATACGTTGTTGGAATCTACTGGTTAGGATCTTGTTGAAGATTTTTGCATCTACATTCATGAGGGATATTGGTCTGCAGTTTTCCTTTTGAGTGATGTTTTTGCCTGGTTTTGGTATCAAGGTTATGCTTGGTTCATAAAATGAATTAGGGAAGATTCCATCCTTTTCTATGTTTTTGAATAATTTGAGTAGTATTGGTGTCAGTTCTTCTCTGAATGTTTGGTACAATCTCTGTTGAAATCCTCTGGGCCAGCACTTTTTTTTTGTTGATAC